TTACGATCACTAGACTATGATGCAGTATTTTTTTGTTTAGCTTGTCATTATTATGTAACTCTTTATCTTTGTTAAACGTATTTGCAAAACAGTATTCATTTTGTATGAATTAAACATGTGTTCATATTTAACCCAGTTTGTTACATACATTTTGTTTCTGTAGCGACAGAATGCAATATTTCGAAATTACTAATTTCTTTAGGTGTTCCGCAAGGTCATGTTTTGGGTCGAACTTGATTGAGTCATCATTTATTGGCTTTGTGGATGTCATAGACTTAGGTATTTAGTTATATTTCTTGTTTTCTAAACAAGTGTACTTTTACATAATATAAACCTCTAATATAACTGAATAGTTAGTCTTTGAATGCATTTATATCTGGAGTCTTTTATATTTATATTTATGACTGTTGATGAAGCGAAAGAGGTATGTAGGAATCGTAGTAATTGGCGTTCCCTAGTCTCTGCCTACCCCCATGGGAGACAGGCTTGAAGTTATGTATGTATGTATGTAATGTATCTGGAGTCAATTCAAATGATATAAATAAATGTTTGTTAAATTGATGAATTATATATATAAATATCACAGCGTATCATAGCGTTAAAGCTAAGAAAGTAATCTAATACCTTTTCTGGAGAAAGATCCAATAATATCATACTATGACGTTTAACAAAGCACGTGGGTGTGACTGTGCATCTGCGATGAATAATGGCTACTTATCAACACCTGTGTGAAGTTCGTGCCCAATCTACTTCCGTGCTTGAGACATGTTTAATTGCCTGCATGCTTACGTTCTAGTGCTATCATTATCGACCTTCCCACGACACATTCTTTATTGAAAGTAGTGACAATTTCAAATTGCAAGTAGATGATACCATGATTCTACTCTCATCTACCTGTATTGGTGATATGAGGTATTGTCTATTTTTTTTAGATTTCGAGTCGTTTTTGTTTTCTATTTGGTCTACGGTTGTATAACGAAGAGGATGTTAGATACTTAGACAAGATTTTTAGTTTTTCTTAGTCAATGCCTTATTATCTCATTAAAATTTTTAGTTCCTTCTCTGTTTAGGTTTTCTATTATTCTTGTTTAGTTCTTTAATTTAATTCAAGCTTTTTATTTACTTGATTTTATTATCAAATCCGTGGTTTATTATTATAGAATTAACAAATAGGACAAGTAATTATTGCATGGAGTGACTACCAAATACTTTTCTTAAATGCGAAAGATTTTATTCAGACAAGGTCTAAGGCCTCCGACGGTTGCTATAGTACGAAAGATAATTTAAAAAAATATTTTTAAACCACATAACCCTTTGCTTTCAAAACTAACATTAATAATAGAAATATAAGTAATTTGACTACTTACTCTGTTGTATATTGTATGCGCATGAAACATTTACATCTTAATGAACTTATTCGAGTAACAACCACGTGAATATATTTTCTGTCTAGACTAGGGCTGCCAAGAAAATCATTCCATGTTCGTATTTTATGAACAGTAACATCATTGGCCTCGTTAAACAAACCACTCATGGCTCTGCTACAAAAAATAATCTTTAAAAAAAATATCTTCGTAGCTAATATCCATGCAGCTAATAATACTAAGCCATTCTAAGTAGATTTATACATAGGAAATGACATTAAATACTTAACCGAAAGTAAAAAATGTTATAAAAGTACCTATTATGTAAAAAATATATATATACCTAAGGATAATTCTCTTCCTAATACTTATAATGAACCCGTAATAAATCTAGAGAAAGTAGATTGCCCAAGAGGTTCAAATAACCCTAATGATAAAACTAAAACGTACTTGCTACCTAATTACTTAGCATTCGTTCCACCGCGTTACGGATTCCCAATTCGATACAGTTTTGTGACAATCTTTAATACGAAGTATAAAAATAGGCTTAAAATTGACTGCTAAATAATGTGTGAGCTTACCTATTTATTACCCTATTTAAAAAAACATCAGTATTAATAATCAGATCATTTTTATTATTTTTCTCAAAAGTAGTTTATTCTATTTACAAAAAAACTATGACGGAAGACATTCAATTTTATTGTTCTTAAATTCGTAATTTCGAAACTAAACAATAAGTTGTATTTTAGCCGTTTGAGTACCGTCATTATAGACACAATTAAAGAACAATAGGTTGCGGTCACCGGTGTCCTCGCGGTGTTTGACAGTTTAACGTATTTAACCAGACCAAAGTAAGTACAGATTCGGATAAAAGTATTTCTATAAATGTACCTTGAAGTGTTCAACATAATTTAACTGTCCTCTACTACTTGCCAACCCTACTAATATAAGATACGGATGCGCGCACGGTGCGCGGAACGAGACCATCTTCTGAACCAAATAATGCGTCAAATTCTGTTACGAAATACCATAGCCGTGCATAATGGACGAAAGTTAGGCCGCATTTAATTGAACAATTACTATTTTCATTATTACGAAATATTTACTTTACGTCGGTTTGCAGAGGGCATTCATAACAATAGATAACCGTTTTAATTGTGTATTTAATAACTGTTTTAAAGTACCTCTATGATGTAGGTATTTTATTTATTGCAACTACGTTTAAGTATTTGGTAGTTGCGAGGTTTTTAGTTTTATTATCCCTAAATCTGAGAAAATAGCATTATTACAGGGATTAAATAGTCTTTATTTAGACGAAACCTGGACTACTATGATGGAGTTTAATAATAGCATTTTATAGTATTCTATATACGGCAGGGAATGTGTAAAAATGTTTTTTTTATATCTACCAAAGTTTATTTTTATAACTCGATAGTACAGAATCAATAATTACCTACACACTTAAAAACGATATCTATTGAATACATTATCCTACTTACACACTCTGATAGTATAGAAAAAAAAAAACTTTTAATTTTATTAAAATGGTACATTTAAATACAAATGCATGATTGAATATTTTAAGATACGTAGTCTTTTAGGAATCTTGTATGACACAATGACCACAGCCAAAAACGTCTTAATCTTTACTAGACCAAATTAACATGTAATGTAGGCGTGTGTGTAGGTTGGTACTTGATATATCTATAAAATCCTTTTGAAGTTCATGCAGGTAAAAGTTTAAACTGCATTTAAAACAACAGATTGGAAGGCTTTTTTTTAAGGGGGGAAAATCATCGAATGACTGCTCCCGCCTGGATGAGGCGGGAGGGAGTGTCAGACTCTTACTGACTAAAAACCACCCCGTTCCTTCTCCTGCACGTCGAGCCGGAGCCCCGGTTACCCGTTAGGTTCTCCCAGATCGGAAGGCTTTTTTTTTTTTTTTAAGGGGGGAAAATCATCGAATGACTGCTCCCGCCTGGATGAGGCGGGAGGGAGTGTCAGACTCTTACTGACTAAAAACCACCCCGTTCCTTCTCCTGCACGTCGAGCCGGAGCCCCGGTTACCCGTTAGGTTCTCCGCGACTCCGAATCGGCATCGACCCTATTGGGCCCCATCTGTGGTGGTCTGATGGCTCTTTGAGGCGCGCGCGGAACGCGACGCGCCGTAGAGACAAGAGAACAGTTGAAATTACCATAGGAAACTTTAAGTTCCTATTGTCGTGCGATACAGTATTGATGACGATAACAAAACAATAAACATACAAATTCACATACATTACACGTCTTGCCCAGAACCAAAACTCGCGATACGGTGCACGGTAATCGATAGTACCGGCAGTACTATCGATTACCATGATAAAAAGCTATCTGACCCATTATAGGATCAAAAGTAGGCTATTTTTCAGACTATACCTATTACAAGCATGTTTAATATAAAAGATCATTAGTTATAGATGATTTCAATTGACCAATATGACTTCTTTCTTGCAACTGCTGTGACCTATTGGATAATCTGTTCAATTTTGCAAACGACTCTACTTCTCTTAACCATCGCAACGGTATCGTTCATTAATTTATTATATTACGTACCCCTTTCAACATTAAAATTTCATAGTTTACCAATTTTATATTTTATGCTTAATTAAAATGAAATAAGCATTTTCCTTACACAATTTCAATGCAACAGTACCTAAATAATAGTTTTTGAAATATCATGAAATGAAATTCAGTCAAAGGTCAAAATGCTCTCAAGTGTCTACGGATCTTGGAAGATCATAGGACTAAAAAATACAATGATCAGTAAGTGCAACAAAAGGATCTAACTAACTTTATGTCTTTGTTACCCAAAGGAGTAATGAGTATATAGAGGTTCACACACAAAATGTGGCATCCACTATTAGCCACTTATATTATGAATCCCATGTAATAAGAGCTGAATCTGTTATGGAATGCTTAGGTAAATTCGTTCAATACATTTTTATTTAATAAGTACGACTCTTATTAATTTTTTAGTTACTCCGAATCATGAATGTGACTATGTAATTGATATCAACTGTATTATTTTTATGGCTAAGAATTGAAGGAGGTAGAGATATAGCTAAGAGACATAAGTAGAGCATGAACATAAGTAGATAATTATATTTTAATTTTAAACAAGACACACGCGAAATACAGTACCCTTCCTACAGTCGAGTAAAAAAGGTAAACACCTTAGTATGAGATGGTTTCAAGTTCAATTTAACATTTTTGCGGCGAACAAATGATTTTTTAAATATGCAAAGCTTTTTAGAATGCGGATATTATTTTGTTTCTTGCAATATTTATAGTTAACATTTTAATTAATTTGTGCATGTGCAATATGCAGATGTACTTAAATGTCAAATGTTCTTTATTAGTCTGTTGTCAACATACTTGATATTTGATTTGATTTCCTCATTCTCCCAGCTCATCTAATAATTTGTTAACCCAGGTCGAGGAAAAGTCTATTCTAATGTATGTAATAGTAAAAAATAATTTGGTAAGAAATAAGATTTTATCATGGTAGGTCGTTTTTTAATTTACAAATACAGGCATCCCCATTGCTCTAAATAATGCAATGCAATAATTACTATAAACAAAAAAATAATTGCTTACTTTTCGACAGATGGTGCCTTTTTGTTGTCCACTTCACGAAATAAACACATCACAGTTTCTCACTACAACAAAACACTTAATCCTTTGACACATTACTCAATTATTACAAAAAATTAACACCAAAAAGAAATTCCCGCGCGAACAGAGTTTACAATACGTTTTAAAATTTAAATACCGCGAAAAATCAGTTAATCTTTATCGAAAATTTGACACGATTTGCGCAAAGAGATAGGCAAATATTTTTTTTATCTGCGTTCGAAGTTCGAATTTTGTAATGTTTTTTTTTAAGTGTGCCAGCCAGACGCATGCGGGCGCGGTTTGTTGCGTAAGCGTAAGGCGCAATGCGTGTTTGCTGGTCGGCTGACTTGTAGAAACTGAAAGTGGAAGTGGACTCCAGACGCTCGTCTTGATGCAAGGGATGTGCGGTAATCCGCGACCGACGGAGCATCCGCATAATGTAAATACTTAGCCGCCGCGTCGCGTACTAGTTGTCGTTGCTCTTTGGTCTTTTGTTTGGCTTCAGTGAGAGTTTTTGACCGCAACTTATTTACCTTATCTTGCGTAATTGCATAATATAGGTATGAGTCAGTGGTTATTGTTTACTAACTTATATATTGTTAGTTTATATCTAATATGTCTACTAAGTAATAATCTACTAAGAGTTTGATGTAGGTAGGCGAAGGCTTAAAATGTTATATTTTTAAACCGATTGTTACAATAAAAGGCCAGACATAAACGTAACAATATACATCGATAGTTCCATTAACTTTAATTGATATCGATACATAATAGAAAGCTCAAAAAATTCAAATTGCCGCGGGATCCGCGTATCTATTACAAGCGAGCACATCACTAGTAGGTAATAACCCCGCGAACGCGGCAGTTAGATATTACCTAACTACCAAGTTATTTCCATTTAATCCCATTTTCATAAGAGTTCATCTACATCCGATGTTTGTACTAATGATTACTGATGCTTCGTTCACAATGCATGCGCGTTTAGGGTTCTGCAATCTATTGTTTCAACATTACACTGATTTCCTTGGTTACTACCTACAGTTCGTACTGCCTCGTTGGCCGAGTGGTCGCAAGTGCGACTGCCGTGCAAGGGGTCTCGGGTTCGATTCCCGGGTAGGGTAAAGTATTACAGGGTTTTTAAAAAAAAAATCTCAGTTGCAACACGGAGTCTGGAATTGTGGCCGGTATATGGCAATAGGCTCACCCCCTATTACATGGGACTCATAACATAAATAGTGAAAAGTGGGTGTTACATTGTACAGTGGCATAATGTGCACCTCTGCCTACCCCTTCAGGGATAAAAGGCGTGATGTTATGTTATGTTATGTTATTTTAATCTTTGTTATGTTATAGTTCATACGTACCTACATAAACATTTGGGTCGTTATGTGCAGTATGCAATACCTTTTTTTTTTTTTTTTACGAATAAAATATTGCTTACCTAAATATTTTTGTCATACATTTTAAAGTAAACTCACCTATAACCACATCAAACCCGCATATGACTCTTCATAGTCTTCATATACTATCTATGCATAATGAAGTCATCATCAACCTACACACTGTGGCCTTCACCTCGATATCAAAAACGGATAGAAATGATAAAATATGTTACTTATCATCACATCACACCTGTTACACTTAACAATGTACCTAGGTAGAAATAACACATATACATATATTCGATTAACTATAAATCGTGGGTTACTCACGTGAATTCACTCGGATTCGTCGTGCACGCTGCTCGTGAGCAAGAGCCCCTCTGTGACTCGAAACTAGTAGAGCTTTCCTCAGTATATTCACGTGAGTAACCCCCGATTTTTAGTTAATTTAGTATGTCTCACAATGGGTATTATAAAAACATATAATATTTGAACTACTTTTCATGCAGCATGACTAACATTATGAATTTCTGGAAATAGGAAAGCACTGACAGGACTTTACACATTTTCACAAGAACTTGCATCATTGTTCGACTAGGTTCAAATAACATCGGAGCTGATAATCATGGACTATATGCGTAACGACCGGCGTATGCAGTTTATTATTTGTATATTTATACTACCTACGGCGTCTCCACAAACAGCAAAACAATTTCCAACAATAATCACAAGATTGTTCTTACATCTTCACACGGATATAACTCATTGTCGGTCCGTGGTATACACTGCTATTGTGATCATTCTCAGATTATTAAGAATGCACCACAAATTGAATAAACAATATATAATAAAATAACTTGAGAATACTTTGATAATGTAATCATCGTTGTGTATAATTATTGAGATTATTTATTACATTACGCCTTTTTATTTTCTCACTAGGTACTTCTCTGCGGTTTCATCCGCTCTGCTCAGTGCCTATTGATCGTATTGTGATGTTTTATAGCCTATAGCCTTCATCGATAAATGGGCTATCAAACACAAAAAGAACTTTTCAAATTGGAGCAGTTCAAATTGTTCCTGAGATTAGCGCGTTCAAAAGTATTATGTACTTTTGAACGCGACGAACAGACGGCTTTATTTTTTTTTTTTTGAGGCGGTTAATCATCCAGTTTCTTTCCCCGCCGTGTGTGAGCCGAGAGTGTCAGACTCTTACTGACTAAAACCACCCAGTATCTACTCCTGCTCTTCAATGCGGAGCCCCAGCGCGCCCCCAACCCGCGGACAGATTGACTGATTTGAACCTAAAGTCTTACTCTTACCCTAAGTAATATGATGAACCCATAATCGAACATTCGCTGTTCCAAAGTATGTAAAATTTATTCCAGATACATCCAGCCATTCTGGTTTTTTTTATAGGATGGGCCGTTGTTTGACCACTATCTCGCCTTGTGCTAAACGATGGTGCGATCTATGATGGAGCACGTCGACCCATAAGCCACAGACACCCAGGTTATACCCTCCAGGAAATACAGACTTTGTGCAAAGAATTCCACTCCAGTAATTTATTGGCTACCAGCCACCATAGGTAGGATTTAACCTGGAAATTTTCAGTGCCCTTACTGCAATCCAACCATGCCATCTAATAGGCATGTACACGAATATAGTATATTGTCAGGAATCAGGATCAAAATGAAACAATAAAAGATCAATATAACATTTTATTTGTCGAATTATCTTGACAAAAATGTCACTATATTAAACTCCGATAAATAATCTTATTTATGTCGCCGCGATGCTTATGTATGCTCACGAATGAATCGAAGTGATGATTAATTATTTGATTGATTATTTTTGTTGTTAATTTTAATTAGCTGTAATTAGTGATAAATTGTTGATCTTATTTCAGTAGAAATCTATTTACGTAAATCAAACATTCTATTGATGTAAACAATCTTCTAAGCAAAAATGTAACTTAAGGATTTTGTTTAAATTGATGTAACTAAATTAAGTAAATAATCGTTATTTTCAAAACGGCGTCTTACGAAAATTAATCTTTTGAAAAATATTGTAACTATCAATTATTACGTCATCATTATTTATTTTATTAAGTGAAGTTTGACATTTGTGCCTACCGCCATGTTGGCACGTCAAAACGAGGTTATAAAAAGGCGTGTCTTGAGCAGAGGACTCACTTTTGTTCCTGACTTCGGTACGAAAAGGTTGTAAGTACAATCTATGTTGGTTTAATAAATGATTTAATTGCCATTTTGCTTGTTTTGTCAATTATAATTCCTTTGGTTTAAATTACTTTAAAATGTTATGTGGAAATCAGTATAATTAAGTTTGCCTTCTAAACAAGTGTTAGCTATTGTAATATAAAGCAGAACCGATGGCCTGAGTGGTCAACGGTTCTGCACTTTTTAAAAATAATAACTTCATGACATCCGTGACATTTACATAAATATACAATCAAGGGTTCTTAGATGAAACACCCACATCACAATGCGTTTGTGACTAGCTTCAGCAAGCAACTTTGCTTGCACCGTTATTTATATTATACCAAGACAATTTGCATTAAAAATAATAGTCTATACTTTCCTATGGTTACTAACCAGTACCAAATAGGCCCCATACAGACTCAAAATTATACAATTTCTATTCATAGATAACAAACTTAAGTTTGGGCAGCCATTTTGCTACAGATTATTGGTTTCTTTTTCTTGGCGCGAAAAATTGACAGTGACTAATCTGAGCTGTCAAACACATGACAACGCATAGAACAGTTTTTTTATTATAAATTATTATTAGTCTTGTCTCTTTCTAAGTATATCATAAAGAAAAAGATAGCAATAATCATAATTTTCTAGAGTTTTAACAATTTTAGTACAATTTAAGTATTTTATGAACTCTTATCAACTGCGAACGTTCGAAAATGGTTGAAGTCGAAGGGAGTTCATATAGTAGGTACATTGCTAAATCCTTTTATTTTTCTTACATAGGCCGTAAAATCTTTAAAAATATTATTAGCAAATTAATATTACAACAAAATAGACTGCCGAGTATTTTCTATAAATAGAGTAAGAGCTATTTGTTCTAAATGTATGTTTGTTGTAAATACAAGCGTATCTAAAAGGAAATAAAGCTCATAATTGAATTTTTAATTCATAGCAACAAGTTCCATTGGAAAATAACAGGAAGTTCTTAGTTATAAAATATATTTTGAAGTGTTTTGTAACTTGAATTAAAAATTCAACGTAACTTCGTTAGTAAGCTGCCTTAGCACACATTTAGATAGTTTTGGATAGCTTGAAAATATTTCACATTAGTCTAGCTATTTTGAGGTCATATTTTAATTTTCGAAACTAGGTTTAATGCGTTAAAAATAAGTTGCAGTACTTTAAGCTTCATTCTCATAAACAATTCGGGTTATTTTTAAATGTGGTTTATAGTGGCAAAGTCACACTGTAAAATGTTATTTAACAGATAAGTAATAAAGCACAAAATGGTTTGAAGAACTTATTGTTCTATTGAACTGAAGACCTCAAGCTTAAAGACAATTAAACGTATTTTAAACGCATTAGAATCTTTTTACTTTCTTACGACATTTATATCTACTATAAATGCGGGCCAGTTCAAAATGTCCATTACATATTTGGTTATAATAACTCTTACTTTCAATTTTAATCTTAAAAACCATAAATTGAACACAAAATGAAAGATATGCATGTAAGTATCCATAAACCTTCGTTCCCAAACTAAAAACTATAAGTATATTGCTTAAGTATGGCAATATCAACGTTTTGGTTAATACAATAGAGACGAATATCGTTTGGCACGCTGTGACTGAGTCTAGCATAACATAGGCTTAACTAACTTATAATAAGTTGTACAATACATTAGTCAGTTTACAGTGTCGAGCAAAAAAAACTGCCCACAACTAAGTTTTAAAAAAAATTGCTTTGTTATTGTGCTGGGGTGTTTTTTTGCTCGCTAGTGTACGTAAGTAATAATAATATCGACTGTTCAATTTGCTTCGGATTCTACATAAACCAGGTACATGGCATAAGTACAATATCATGGCAATAGCTGATTTAATAGAAAAATAATATATTTTATATATACATAGTTTCTACTATAAATACATCTGGGTGATACAAAAAATAAATCATTATATTTCAAGGTATTTCTCTCTTAAGACCTCTCAGTACATATAGTAAGAAAATATTAATTAAATTTAGGAGAGCATCTAATATATTAATTGATTCATTGATTATTGTTTTCATTTATTACTTAATTAAATAATTAGGATCATTATAATTTCAATTTCGATAGCAGCATTTTAGATTAGACAATTCCTTTGGAGGTAGTGAATAAAAATAGACCAACTAATTAGCTACTGATTCGAAAGCTAGTTTACAATTCTTTTTTTTTTTCAATGACCGTAATAATATCTATTAAACAGGTTATAATTCATCGCGTTATTTCTAAGATATGCTTTAGTTAGTTTGCTTGCTAAGCGAGCGATATAAACACAATAAGAAACTATTAACTTTATCCGATGACCACTTTTTAATGGCCGAAAGTGTAACGTTTTGAATTCAATATCAATTACAACTAATCAGTTTTCACGCTAATTAGACATCAATTGTATGTAGCTACATTTTCTATGCCATAGAATAATCTAGAAACACTAACGGTTATATTTTTGACTAGAATCAAACGGCTAATTGACGTATACTGCCAAACTAAGTTTTGGACATCCAAGAACATCGAACAGTTGTCCCATAGGCCATATTACTAAGTGATATTTGTGCGATCCTAAGGCCAACAGTCCATTTTACAACTGTTTTTATCTAGCTATGGCGTTCCATGAACATTTTAAAATCAATTTTTGGTAAACAAAAATTAATTCAGCGGTCGTCGTATCAAAAAAATCAAATTAGTCGAAACCTTAATAAAAATATACATTCCTTATTATACTATACATTTATTATTTTGCATATAAAGAAAATATAATGTTGTATATTTACAAAGAAACCTTTGAAAGGTCAGAACAAGTAAAACAAAGGAACTACAACACCGCCAATTGTGAATGTCGACCGTAAACTCGACAGTACGATATCATTCAGTCAAAATCGTAACTAGAAAAGAAATCGACATTTCATATAGATCCTGTGCGTTCATATTACCAAATAACTATGTACAAAGTCTGTAAATAAACACATCGATTCTCTCTCTAACATTAAAGACAAGGTTCCACGCCATGCCGACAAGGCAACACTAGCTATGTCCATTCTAATATTAAACCTAATATTCTATTTTATTATCACAATACGTCGTCCCCTACGATTCGATTACAATGACGGATTAGTCGATTTTTCCTTCAATCGATTACTTCATACTCGTCACATCACTATTCTAGAGTTTGAGCCACGCTTTGGACAATTTCGTTTGAACACATTTAAGCCCTGTGTTCTTTTGAACTACATACTTTTTAAATATACAATTTGAATTATAAGGCTCAGGCTACACGGAAGCTTTATTATTATTATTGGATTTATATTGAACAATTCATTTAAGTATTAGAATTATAGATAGTCTACTATTAGTAGCGACCGTTTTTATGTATCGTTAGTATTCAATGGTCTAAATATATTTGGCTAATTTATTTAGAAGATTTTTGGAAGATAGCATTAATGCGTGGAATATTCTTAAGAATTAATGGTTCAGATTTGGCATGTATCTTAGAAAGATTTTTGTCTAATATCAGCTGTTTTTTATTTATTACATTGGGTGATACATAGTCACTATAAAATAGTTATAATCATGCATTACATTGCAGTATAAGTCAAAATACATATAAAAACAATGAGGCTGTCTAGATTTTAACCGAGTATGAACATATTATGAGCTTTATATTATATTTAAAATTAGAAGACGTTTGACGTAGGTACTTCTAATTTTAAATATAAAGAAGGTAAAATCTTTTTTAATCATTATTTCATTGACATCAAGATCTTAGTATGGTAATAGACAAAGTTCCCGTTTACTGAAAGCCTATTTTATGTGAGCTGTATTAAGTCGATTTTCGAATGATAATGACATAAATTGCGAGAAGGGCTCAGTGCAAGTTTTTGACTGAAAGGAGGCAGCATATAATGGACAAAAAGATTATTGTTTCGAAAGTAAAGTTTGTTATGATCATGATGTTAAGATGTACAATATCGATAGACCTTTCCATAGGTAAGATAGCTGCATAGATATGAGAATAAGTACTTAGGAAGGCTTCAGATGCCCGTTTTTACCAACATATATTTTCAATGAACCTCCCAGCTAAGTAGGTGACACTTAATGATATATTGATTTTCACCGAGGGGTTCGTTCAATTGCTCCCTCACACCAAGTAACTCTTAGGTAAGAGATAGTTCAAGGGTTAGGAAAAATAGCGAAGAGTATTCCAGCTAATATCGGTGATAATGTTAACGATGATGATAAAATATAAGGGGCTAGCGCATACATACGTGTTTCATAAGTTTATTTATAGCAATATAATTATGAACGTTCGTATACTGTCAACTCGATAGTTGATCTATCGAATCACAGTTTAGTCGAGTTTCACTAGAAGTAGACGAATCGACTAAACTATTTAGATGAAAAAAATGTATGTTTACACTAGCCCTAAGTGTGAATGGTTTGTTTAGGAGGCTTTCATAGTGAACGTGTTGCAAACTTACAATTGATGATGAAAACAAATACGATCGAATCTCCTCCGTTTTTGAAGTCGGTTAGTCTGTAAGATTGAACTAGCCATGTGATGATGGCAAGGTAGAGCACATTTGTCACCGCCGCTACTCTTCCTGTAGCTATCGTTAGAGTCGACTAAGGGACTACATATTTAATAGAGACCGAGCAAAATCCTATTCAACCACGATCTCCAAGATTAAAGTTTTCTTTTGTAGAGACATAGTCCAACAGTGAACTCTTACGAGGTTGTCGATGATGGTGATGATGAGTAGAAGTAGTATTACTTGTGTTAGTGGTAGGGTCTGACGCCGTGCATGGTGAGGAAGGCGTGCAGGTCGCGTGGAACATGCTCGGGCCGGTACCGGGCACCTGCACATGCCAGGGCTCCCGCCGCCAGGCAGGAGAGACGGGGACGGAGGGCGCCACGCACTACTGCTTCCGCTGGACCTGGAATACGAGTCAATATATAACATTCAATAATGTAATAGTGGTCCCAGTAAGGAGAACTTAGCTTCGGTAAGTCTTTATACTACTTGACTAAAGTAGGTAGTGCAAGTCCCTTATGGAGCTGACGAAGATTGCGCAAATACTTTATGGACCTTGCGCAAAATGCGCATCTATTGCGCAAAACAGTCATTTGTATGTCAATAGATGTAACAGCATGTTTAACACGTTATAGGGTAAAATGTTAGCATCACAAACAAACAATTCAATTTTGACGTTCCAAAAAAACTTATTTAAGGATTAAAATTGAAATTTTAAGAGTGGGAGGGCCATGCTTCGGCACGAATGGGCCGGCTTGACCGGAGTGATACCACGGCCTCACAGAAAATCGACGTGAAGCAACGCTTGCGTTGTGTTTCGTCGTGTGAGTCAGGTTACCGGAGGCCCAATTACCCTCCCCTTCTCCAATCTCCTAATCCCGAAATGGCCGGTAACACACTTGTAACGCCTCTGGTGTTCTAGGTGTACATGAGCGACGCCGATTGCTTACCATCAGGTGATCCGTCTGCTCTTTTACCGGCTTATGTCATAAAAAAAATAACCGACTTTGATTTAGAATAAAAGAAAACAATATTTGATCGCCAAGTAAGTGGTGACAATAGCAAATGAGTAGCGTGGCACAATGGTACCCGCAGTGCGCACCTCCGATGGCGGCGACGAGCGGCGTGATGCCGGCCGCGTCCATGGCGTCCACGTGCGCGCCGCCCGCCACCAGCTCGCACACCACCGCGCACAGCGACTCGCTCCACTGCTCGCGCTCGTCTGGGGGACGTACTTGTTATAGCTCAAATCATTCACTACATATTTAATATTAAACTAGCTACTTCCGCGCAGTATCACACACTCTGCTCAGCTCCTATTGGTCATAACATGATGTTTTATAGCCTACAGCCATCCTCGATAAATGCGCTATCCAACACAAAAAGAATTATTCAAACCAGACTCCTAGTTGCGAAGATTAGCGCGTTCAAACAAACAAACAAAAAAACAAACTCTTCCGCTTTATATAATACTACTATACTATAAAATTAGGGTCTGTTTCACATTGTTTATGCATGTTATGTTTCTGTAATTCTGATAAATAAAACTAAATCCTTTAGAATATGTTACTAAACAAGCGTCTTGAAAACTAGCTATTGCAAAATATTAGGTTTTAGCAGTTCCAAGTAGACTAGCGTCAATTTCTATGCAATGTGTCACTTTTCTTTCTGGTTTAGTTTTAGGGACTAAAGCAGCACTAGAACGCATGACATTTAATATATACCTTTAAATACAATAATGAATACCGACCAGTAGTAAGTTGGTAGGAGATGAGTGCGACGTGTAGCGCGGTGCGGCGCGAGTCGTCGGCCGCGTCCACCTCCGCGCCGCACTCCAGGAGCAGGCGCGCCGACCGACTGCACGGGAACCTGCGGACACGTACTGATACAGTCTGGGACCCTAGTTTGATCATTGTTTTTATCAAGGTCAAAGTAAATATTATTTATCTCAATTAGACCAGAAAGGCACTTTTGAAAGTCAACAAAAGAATTTGAAAGTGAAGCTATTATCTTTGCTTTTCTCTCTTGGTGCTATTTCGCACTCGCTTTCAATCTTATGTAGTACTAGCTGTGCCCGCGACTTCGTTCGCGTAGAATCTATCTATACATATAATAAAATTGTAGAAAAGTGCTGTCTGTACATTGAAAATAAAAATAAAAAAAATAGCAGGGGCTATTGTTATGTCGATGTCGAACCCAAAAATGTAACTAACTTTTTTTTTGTCTGTTTGTCTGTTTGTCTGTTCACGCTAATCTCAGAAACATGAGAGTCTCCTGACTCCGAGTTGCATGTGGTTTTCACGAATGTATTGCTGTATGTTTCAGTTATGCTTTAGTGTTTGTTTCATGTCAATCGGTTCATAAATAAATAAGTTATGTCAAATTAAAGAATCACGTCGAACACTATTCTATGCTTATACATACATCTATCTATATCTATTATATATAAATATATATATATTTAACAGGGTGCGGAAAAGGTGATAGTGTTTTTATTCCTCGGATTCCTCTCATTCAGTTTTAAACGAATTCAGTTTCCAGTGAGCCTATGTTTCGCCATGACAATTAATAAAGCTCAAGGTCAGACTCTAAAAGTTGTGGGTGTAGATCTAAGTAACAGCTGTTTTTCGCACGGTCAATTGTATGTGGCTTTGTCCCGTGTTAGCAATCCCAGCAGCCTGTATGCTTTCACCCCCGACGGCCATAAGTCTAATATTGTATATAGAGAAGCATTACAGTAAAGTAGGTTTTTTAGCTACCCAAAATGACTGTGATTATGATCCAAATCTAAAATAAAAATAAGTATATATTTAAAAAAAAAACGCTGCTCATAGTCACTATTCTACGCGAACGAAGTCGCGGGCACAGCTAGTAGTGACTATGAGCAGCGTTTTTTTTTAAAAAAAATACTTAGACGTATGGCCGTCGGGGGTGAAAGCATACAGGCTGCTGGGATAAAAAAAAAGGGATAGAGCCACATACAATTGACCGTGCGAAAAACAGCTGATACTTAAAAAAAAAACCACAACTTTTAGAGTCTGACCTTGAGCTTTATTAATTGTCATGGCGAAAAAAAAAATCACTGGAAACTGAATTCGTTTAAAATTAAACGGAAAATTTTTTGAAAAAAAAAAAATCTGAGGAATAAAACCACTATCACCTTTTCCGCACCCTGTTAAATATAAAAAAAAAAATAAGCCATTTCTGAGATTAGCGTGAACAGACAAACAGACAAACGGATAAAAAAAAAGTTAGTTACATTTTTGGGTTCGACATCGACATAACAATAGCCCCTGCTATTTTTTTT